CAGTCCCACCTCCCAGCTGCACTCACTGAATCCAACACTGAGGGGTGACTCCAACATTCCATCTCAGCCCTTTTCCTGCTCTCAGTTATCAATCACCTCAGAATTGCAACATTTCAAACATTTCATGGATTAGAGCCTGAGGAGGCCACACAAGAATGAGAAGAAGATCCAGGTACAGAGGTTTCAGGACACACCTGAGCATTGCCCTTCTCATTCCAGAGCAGGATCCCTGCTAAGCAGCACCTGTGCCAGGCTGGAGACTGCACAATGCTCTGGAAAGCTCTGATAAAACCTCTGAAATGAACCCTGGCTGACCCATAACAGATAAACATCATTTTTCCCATGATATTTAAAGTTCATTTTCCTCTAAAGAAGCTGTGAGAAGTCAGAGCTCACCTCGATGTTCAGGGGGGGCTGGCAGGAGGGGAAGAACACGTATTTGATTTTGCTGTAGGCTTGGTAGAACACAAAAACAAGAGGAGCAGCCACCAGCAGGACAACCAGCAGGGCACCCAGGAAAATCCCAGCAATGATCAGAGCTAAAGGTGTGCCTAAAATTGGGAATAAAAACCATTCAGTCAAGGTACTCACAACCAGCAGAAACTAAAGCAGAGATCCAAATGTGCTGCAGAATTTATCAAATAATTCAACATTTCCACATCATGGAAACATTCCACAACACAGGCTGGGCACTGGGGACAGTGGGAGGTGTCCCTGCCATGGCAGGGGTGGGATGGGATCACCCTCAAGGTCCTTCCCACCCAAACCATTCCATGATTCCATGATTATCTCAACAAACTGAAAGGAGTTTGTGATACTGAAATTAACAGGCAGCAGCAGCCACTTTCTAAGTAATCCAAAGGACACAATCGGGTCTTGTTTTATGATCAAAGAATGGGAGATTTTCACTCTGGTGTATAAAAACATGGGGAAGACAGAGCAGGGTCTGTCTTGAAGGCCCTGCTTGGATTTAAAGAGATTCACGGAGGTAGCAGGATAAGGGGAAGAGGAATACCCAGGAAAATAGATTAAAATGTTTTCTTATTCAGGTAAAAAGTAGCATTTGGTTCTTTTTAGGCTTGATAAGACACAGCAGTGAGGACCACAATTATAAGTGAATCCTGAATGTGAGCCAGGCATTGCTGTTATTACATTTTCTTGGCTTTCAGGCAGTTTGAAGACTCAGAAATTTTCATATGTTAATAAAATTTTATATGGCCAATTACCTTCACCATGATTTGTTCTTGTGCTCTGAGTGAGTGCAATCCTCCCACTCTCCCTGGGCACCAAGATGAGCTTTCAGCCCTAACCAATCTGATTTATCTCCTCAGATAAATCAGCATAGGAGATTCATTCCCAGAAGGACTAAAACAGTTTCAAGGCTAAAATACCCCTGAAAATGTGGAATTTAGTGATTCCTTGCTCCCTCCCCAGATGTGGGGCTGGGAATTGAAGCTCTGTGCCCAGGCAGGTGCTGGCAGGAGCGCTGAGCTGCCAGGGAAAGGGTGACAATTGCAGCTCAGAGCGTGTGGGTGCATTTCTGCATTTCTGCAGAGGGTGTGGGTGCATTTCTGCATTTCTGCAGAGGGTGTGGGTGCATTTGTGCCCACCTGCAGGGGTGAGGATGCATTGCTGCTGGCTGTAGGCACTGCTCTTGTTGTAGTGCTCGGAGAAGGCCTGCACCTGCACGCAGTACAGCGAGGAGGGGGACACGTCGGGCACCGTGGCGATGGTCTGCCTCACCTCCTTCTGCCTCACCTCCTCCTGCAAAAGCAAAGCAGGGCAAGAGGGGGGATCAGAGCCCGTGGGCAGCACAGGAGCCCCAAAGAGCTGAGAGGCCTCTGGTGTGTGGGATCTCAGCAGCTCAGGACTGAGGTGTCACCGAGAGCACCCTTGGGGGGCTCGGGAGTCCTGGAATGTTCCAGAAGTGTCTGGTGGCTGGACTTTGATCCCACACAGGAGACGACACCTGTATGAGGACAGGAGGGTTTCACCAGGGTGAATGGTGAAGGGATTGGTTAATTAGAGAGTGAAACACAGGGTTTAGGATTTCTGTACAGGGGGGTTTAGAGAAGTAAGATGGAGGAATTGGGGCGTGTCCTGTCCTTCTTCTTCTTCTTCTTCTCCTCCATCTTCTGTGGTGATGGTGGCACTTTGGGATTGGTCATTACTAAAAGTGCACTGGGCAATAAGGGTGAAAGGTATTGGGGAAAAATGATAAATATTGTACACGTAACAATGGGTATAAAGATAGGTGACCGCCCGGAGGGCAGGGAGTGTGCTCATGGCTGGCTGCTGAGCAGAGCTCTGTCGGGCCCAGAGAAAATCTTTTAGATAAACAATTAATAAACACCGAGACCGAGAAAAGAACTGAAGCCTCTTCTCGTCCTTTGAAACGCGGCTGCCCCAAGGCCACCCCGGGCCTTTCCAGGCCATCCAAACAGCCCAAAATCAGACACTGGTGGAGAAGGGATTCTGTGAAACGTCACACATTGCTGCAGCCCCAGAGACTGCTGGAGAGGCTTCCCAGCTCATGCAGTCCCATTTCCCACTCTGGAACATCTCCAGGAACTCCACCACCTCCCTGGGCACCCAGATTCAGTAAAATACATAATCCACCCCTTAGCTCCTCAGCAAAACTCAGCAAACACCTCCTGGGCAAGAACCAAGGGTTTCCCCCATTATTCTGAAATGTCCCAATTCCCAGGAAACTCCTTCCTGCTGCAGTTTGCTTCCTTCTCTTCTGCCCCCCTTTTCACCAATTTCTGTGAAATATTTTATCCTAAGAAGCATTTAAAGAACATGGAAAGATCCATTAAAATGTGAGCTAAAAGGATGCAGGACTTCAGTGTTTGAGGAGCTTTTCCCATCCCATTGCACACAGCCACATCCATGGAAATGGAGATTTTACCCCATCACTGGGAGATAAACATCACAGTGATCAGGTTTCTAAGAGACTTACATAAAAATCTCAACCACTGGGTGATAAAAGTCACAGTGATCAGGTTCTTGAGAGAATCTTTCATTAGAAAACCCAATAAACTGACTTTTTAAAGACTGATATACCACAAACGTGCCTACTTTGGAAAGGAGCTCCAGGATCTAAGTCAGAATCAATAGAATATTTCATTTTTTCATATTTAAGTCAGAATCAATAGAATTTTCATATTTAAGTCAGAATCAATAGAATATTTCATTTAAAAACCCAATAAACTGACTTTTTAAAGACTGATCTACCACAAATGTGCCTATTTTGGAAAGGAGCTCCAGGATTTAAGTCAGAACCAATTTTCTGTTGTTTGTAATTTGTTCACACCTTCATATCTGAGGAATTCTTCCAGTAGAGGATCCTGTAGGACAGGTCATAATGGTCCCTCATGAATTCATCCTTATCTCCTCCTGGAGGAGAAATAAGGATGTGGAGCAAAGTGTCACTGAGGTCCAGCCTTACACCGGGAGGGCCAATTCCATCTGAAAACAATAAAATAAATACTTGAAGTCCAACTGAAAAAATACAACTAAAAATATCAAATTCTGTCAGTGAAATCCATGATAATTTTGAAGAAACATAGAGTTAGAAGTATAACTTCACAGTTTTATTCAGAGTGCCAAATCCTGAGAAACATTTGAATTAATTTCACTCTATTCCTGTGAAATCCCCCCCTCCTGTCAGCTCACAGAGACATTTGGCAGGAGTTTGCTGAGCAAGGAGCACTTCAGGAAAGCATTTCCTTACTTGTTCTCAGAGGATCCACCTTGACTTCCCTGGAGAAGCAGGATTTGTTGTGTCCCCCCCTGGCCTGCACCCGCAGGTGGTAAAAGCCAGTGCCGGTGATGATGGAGGAGAAGTTGCACCAGGAGCTGGTGATGTTCTCACACCCAGGGACACTGAGCCACTTGTCTGAGTAATCATCATTGAGATCCTTCAAGAAGCCACTGCAACAGAGAGAATTCCAGAGTTTTCATGTCAGCTCCCTGAACTCCTCCAGAAAATCGCATTTGTTCGCGCTGCACTTGGCTCAGTTTGGGGCAAAAAGGCCTCTAGTAATAAAATAAAAATAAAAATTTAAAAAATCAGCATTTTAATCTGAGACATTTCTGAGTGGAAGAATGAGGATAAAAGGGCCAGGGAATACAAATCAGGGCTTTAAGCAAGGCTCAGCAGAGATGAAATGTGGGGAGGGCAGGTTCTGAAAATCCAAAGGAGAAGTTCTCACGTGTGCAGTCCATTGATTTCTGCCATGCCAAAGAACTCCCAAGGAATGCCAGGGGTCCCTCCTCTTCTCTGAGGTGCTGGCCACAATATTTATGCAGCAGCTGGAGATTGAGATACAGGTTTATAGAGCTGCTTCCTACTGGCATTTTTTGGGTGTGATTCGATGGGATTTTATGGAATATGATGGGGGGTTTATGGCATTCCTTGTTTTCTGATGCAACATGAATTTTATCTGCTTTTCTTTATGTGATACAGTGGTTTAGGGTGTGATAGGATGGGGTTTGATGTGATACAAGGGTTATTTCATGGTACATAAGGGGGTTTTTATATGACTTGATGGGTTTTTTATGTGACACAACAATTCTTTATGGGACAGA